ACGAAGAGGCCAGTGCTGGCGGCCTCACCAAGCTGCTGGAGGCTGGTGTTGCTCTTCAGGGCCAGAGCCAGCTCCTCGGCACCCTTGTGGCTGATCTGGTTGTTGCGGAGGTCCAGCTGCCGCAGGGCGCCATTGGCTGCCAGGGCCCCGCAGAAGGCCGCGAAGGCTTCTTCCCACGTGCCCAGGCTGTTCCACTCCAGGGTTAGGCTGCAGGAAGGGTGGACGTGAGGTGTGTGGCCCCGAAGGGCATCCTGCTCCCATGGGGTCCAGCAGGCTTGAGGAGGGGCACAGGCTTGGGGGTCTCTGGCAGAAAGGCTGGAGGCGCGTGAGTAACTCATACCCGCCTACTCCCCACCACGGAAGACCGACATGAAGGCGTGAACTCTCATGTTGCAGAACCGTGTCCGCTGGAGCCAACCCAGAACCACGCAGAGAGAGAGCGGGGGCTCGGGGGAGAGCGGAGGCTGGGACCGCCACCCTACCTCTGAATGGACTTGTTCTGTCGGAGGAGTTTTGCCAGTGCCTCGGCCCCTGAGGCGCGAAGGTTATTGCCCTAGGACAGGAAGAGGCCAGCCAGTCACTCCCCGGCATCCTGAGCTGGGCTCTGAATAACCTGGTCAGGCAGCGGGCGAGGCCATGGCAAACGGAAGGTGTGGCTCCTTTCAAATTCTGCTTTCCCTGCCCGCAGTGGCCTCCTAATGCAGGCTATTTCAGTTTGCTTGTGAGAACATTCTGGAACTCATGTTCCTGCCCTCAGAACACCGACATGCATGCGTGAGACCACGAGCAAATGGTGCGGAGCCTGTGTGCTAAGAGCACTTACAGACACGGTCTCCGGCCACCATGCAGACCCCTGGTCGCCAGGACACCTGCATCTTCTCTACTCCTGCTCTCAGGTGGCACGCCCCCGAGTGCAGATCCACCCACCTTGAGATCCAGAAACCGCACGATGGTGTTGACACACAGCCCCTGCAGCAGCAGCACGGCCCCTGTAAGAGAGCAGGGCAGTCACTCTCCACCCCTGTTGGCTCCATCTTGGGTCAGCTCCCCACACATAGGGGAGAGATGGCTGTCCCAGTGGCCCCCACCAGCCAAGGTTCATGCCAAAAAAGAGTCACCCCACTCCTGTGTCAGGTTTGAAAAATCCGCCAGGTGTGGAGTCAGGTGGCTCACCAGCACAGCGGGACTCTCCTAAGCCAGGGGATACTAAGGCTTTCCCATTACAAAGAGAAATTGCCTTCTGCTCCCGGGTTTCCAGAGAGGATGCTGCTACTTGCTTTATGACAGTAAAAGGGAGTAATCTCACAAAGAAGAGAGCAGGTGGGACAGAGTTCTCTGCTAGAGATGCTAAGCACCAAGGACTGCGGCACGTGCAGCTAATAAGCAGCAGAGCAAAAGAAGCCAGGGGAGCCCGGCCCCAACTCTGAAGTTGGAAGGGCTGCCCTGGGCCGCCTGCCCTTGGTGCCCACCTTCCTCACTCAGCATGCAGTCACTCAGGACGAGCTCCGTCAGCAGTGCCTCCTTCTGTAGCAGCTTGCCCAGAGCCCTGCAGCTGTCCACTGTCAGGCTCTGTGTGGCCAGGTCCAGCCGGCCCTGCGGCAGCTGGTGCATTTGCTGCAGAACAGTCTCCTGGGGCTCGGCCCCACTCTCCTTGCACAGCCGGCTGTAGGTGCGCCGGAACTCCTCCATGTCCCTGGGGTGCAGGAAGGGCTTCCCGGAAAGCGCCTAGACAGGCCTCACCAGGAGCCAGTTGGGACCGGGAAGCCGGGGAAGGGCAGTACGGCAGGGCCTCTCTCCTGGGGCCTTCAGAGAGCCCCCGGCAGCTCAGTGGGGGCACAAAGACTCTTAAGTCTTCAGCAGCCAAGGAACGAGGCGCAAACTGAGTTGGTCCAATAGGCGTGAGGCCCCAGGAGGGCAGGGGCGGGTGATTCTCAGCGGACCGCTGAAGCCTGGGACCGAGGAGATGGGGCGTCCTCGGGGGCGGGGCCTCCAGCGGCGGGGCCGGTCCATCCGGACGTCGCCCGTACCCCTGGGCTCCGGGCCCGATGCCCCAGCCCTCGCGCCGCCGACCCCGGCTCGCTCGTCGCGGCCGCCGCGCGCCTCAGTATCCAGGAAGAGCAGGGAGCGCCGGGAAGACCTGGAGGAAACTACGACTCCCAGAAGGCTTTGCGGAGGTGGGGCGCTCACCGCGGGCCAATGAAGGCGAAGGAGCGGGCGCGCGCGGAGGATCCATTGGCTGGGGGCGGGGGAGCGGGGCTCCAGTAGGCGCGCTCTTTGTCGATTGGCTGGAGTCGCAAGGGAGGGTCTCCGGAGGGCGCGCTCAAGGTTCATTGGCTGGGGACGCGGGGGCGGGGTTCCGGAGGGCGCGCACCTTGGTGGCGGTCATGGAGGAAATCAGCGCCGGCTTCCGGAAAGTGAGAGAGGGCCTGCTGGCGGGGCGGGCTGGGGGCGCGGGGCGAGGCCGCCTGGGCGGGGGCCACGCGCGGGGCCGGCGGGGGCGCTGCGGCCCGGGCC